ATGAACATGAAGAAGATGACGAGAATGACAACAACAACAATGGGGGACAATGAGCAGTGATTATAGTAATAATAGTATCTGTAATAATAATAATAATAATAACAATAATATCAGTGATATTAGCAATGGCAATCTAGCAAGACCATGGCAGGAGGCTCCACCAGGATCCATGAGAACCTGCGTGACGAGAAAGCACAATAACTCTGGGGAAGAAGTGAAGTTAGTAACATGCATTAATGGGACATGAATGAGTGCAGAGAGAGAGAGGAAGAGAGGAGCTCAGTGTATCATGGGAAATCCCCCGATAGCCTAGGCTCTTAGACCAACAGATGGAGTAAACTGTTTTAAAGGAGGGAGGATTCTAGTGGGAGCACTGGGATGTCAGGTGTGACTGTGTGGCAATGGCAAATAGTTTATGGGGTTTATGGGTCAGGTTGGATGGCCCCTTTCAGAATCTTGCTAAGGGCCCCACGGAGGTAAAAAAACCCAAAAAACCTACTGCAGCTTTAAACATGAAAAGTCTTCTTAAATCACATGGAGTTTGTCTCATTTCAAACAACCTTTGGATAACCTTCATGCAAGGAGGGTGTGCTGAGACACAGTCTGTCTACATTATGGTGTCTTACTAAATGATGAAGATAAAGGGGAAATTACTTCACACACAGGTCTGAAATACAATCATGCACATGCAGGGCTTATAGACACCCAAACATGGAGAGAAGGTTGGGTGATGGGTTGCCAAGTAGAGGGGTAGGGGTTGAGTGCCTTGCTCAAGGGCACTCCAGTTGCCAGTCCACACTCCATATTGTGGTCTGTGCTGTGGACCTTCTGGTTCCCAAGCCAAGTCCCTACAGACTAAGCTACTGCCGCCACAAAATGCTAAATGCATGACACTCATGATTCAATTTGAATGGCCAGGGTAATTTATAGCTTATTTGATAGTTATCAACTACATTTTAAACAACTAATAACTAACTTTTAAGTGTATAAAACTGATTAAAAATAAACAAGGAAAACCTCTTTCCTGCCATAAATACTAGTGTACACATGTAAATCCCTGTAAAGGAGAAAGTCATTATACGTTCAAATATTTGAACTTCTGGTTTTCATTTTGCCAGATTTGCAGCACCCATGCCCTATTTTTAGGTGTTTCCCCACACTTCCACACATAAGTTATATATGGAACAATACATAAAGTCAGAGGTACACAATGAACCTTGATTTGCTTTTAATGTAGTTCATTTCTCACAACATAATACGGCTGCACAATGCATACTCATGCCACAGTAAGCCTACTTTAAAATTAGAAAAGCAATTTCATGGGCTTTCCTTTAATAATTGACACTGTGTATGGGAGGTGTGTTTGGGAAGGGTTGAGACTTTCTGTTTCCATCCCTGTTTACATGCACGTGCATATCAATGTTTAACTGGATTAATCAGAATGCACAACTAGTACATTTTCAGAAACTCATATGGGAAAAATATTACAGCAGATAAACAATGTGATCCATATGATGAAGGGTATTTAAACCTGCAGCAAACTCAAAACTATAAAACTAAACATGTTTGGACACATTTGTCTATCTGTCTGTCCCCAGTAACCCCCCCCCCCAACTGCAACTATTTTTGTGTAATTTGTGTTATCTGTTGTTGTGGATTCTTACTGTTTTTTTCTCTTGTACATAGTGTTTTTATTATTTCCCTACTCTTACTGTTTATTTATACTGTTTTTTTTCTCTCTATCCACTTTGCTGCTGTTACATTGGAATGTCCCCATTGTGGGACAAATAAAGGAATATCTAATATCTAATCTAATATGTTTACCTCCACAAGTCAATTGTAGGTGAGAGGACACAGATCAACGTGCCTCCGGAGTGAGATCAACATTTGGTAATTTGGTGGCCAGGCTCCCTTGGCACACCTGCGGCACGCTTCAATACTGGGGTGGGATCATAAAAAAAGGATTATCATACATTATGGGTGTATGTGTTACAGGCTGTTGCAATCCAGTCACATTCACTACCTTTATCCTCTTTCAACGCAAGGCTCTGTCGCCATGACGCACTGTTTATGAATTCTGTGGAGAGGGGAGTTATTGTTGTCTGCGACATGCAGTTTATATGTATATGGCCATGTTTTCTGTGCTTAATAGTGCCGATTTTGTTTTTCACAGTGGTCCATCTGCAGATAAATACCACTGTAAAGTGTTTTTTTGCATGTTTTTTTCTGAAACTATTTCGTTATTGAAAATAATTATCTCATAATTTCGACTTACTTTGAGGATATTTTTATTATCATGGCTAAGTTTTATCTGTCTTTTTTTTTTTTCCTGGCAGAAATGGGCTTCGATAGGTTAGCTGTTGCTCCCAGTAGACTGTGGAGGCACAGAGCACACAGAGAGACATTGCATTGCAAATACTCTAATGGACACTAATCCATGGAGACAAGGGTAAACATTGCAGAATGTTCCTGTAGGTCTGTATCATTTTATGGACACAGAATCTTCCTTTAAAATTCTCCACTCTGCATGCTGTTGCATACGTTTTATTCAGCATTTTGTTAGATTGTTCAGATGCAACAATGTAGTGATGTAGTACCATCATGCTGAATGCCTTCGGTACAGTAAAACCTCAGCTGACCATGTGGAGGCAGTAAATTCATGGTTACAGATGTAAACATTTAAACAGCTCTGTGGCTCTGCTGAAGTTGTGAAATTTGGTTCATATGCCCTACTGTCTTTACTCAGTGTGATCAATTCTGACTCTTTTATCAACAGAACAAAAAAGACTCACCTTTTGAGTCACAGTGACCGTACTGTTTGCTCATTATGTTCATTGAACAGGCTGACTAACATAAAACTGTCCCAACAGCAACGTAGTTTTGTTAATTATTAAATTATTTTCAGTGCTTGGGGGTTTTCTGCAAATACAAGTCGGCGGTATCACTTGCATCGCATCAATGTGTGTAAGTCATAGTGAGAGGAAGCTGAATGTCCATTGTGTTCCCTGTCAGCTCCTCGTCTGCACTTCTAGTGTGTGGCTGCAGTGCTACTATTTAACTTGTTAATGTCTTTTGTGTCACTTAGTCAGTGGTGAAAAGTAACTAAGTACATTTACTCAAGTACTGTACTTTAGTACCATTTTGAAGCATTTGTACTTTACTTGAATATTTCCTACTACTCCACTTTATACTTCTACTACATTACACTTTAGAGGCAAATATTGTACTTTTAACTCCACTACATTTATTTGATAACTTTAATTACAAGTTACTTTTCAGATTTAGATTAATGCTGCAACATAGAAAAATGGGGAACATATTCAGAGTTAAAAATACTTTATTTTGAGTTATATGGACACTATTAACACTTGTAGTTTTGTGTTTTGTTACTTAAGAGTAGACCACATTTATTAATGCTGCGTGCACATGCAATCACGCAAATGGTAGACCGCAAACTGGATGTCATGTTAGTGGTGTCAGTAATGATATTTTGCTGCCCTCGGCAACGGTATTTAAACCCAGATGTTACGTAGCTCTCTCACACAAGGAGAGCACATGGGCAATCTGGACAACGAGACACTGATAATTAATAAATTGCATAAAATAATATTTAATTTAATATATTTATTCCAGTCCGTAAACAATGCCACATCACTATACCAACATCTCATCATGCACTTTTTGTTTTGCCGTCCTGCTATTCCGTCGACGGTCCCGCGTTGTGAGTGAGGTGCTGTCCGTCTGCCTGATTCCATTTTAATGCAGCATAAGTGTTGTTAAGGGAGAATGAGCATTACTGAGGTATACTACACTGTAATTCATGTACAAATGTACAAAAATAAGCAGTAATTAGGAGGATATTGAGGGAAAACTCTTAGTTAATAGCCTAGCAATTGTATGCATGCTAATTAGCAACTAGTTAATGGTGAACATGTGTACCCTAGTGTAAAGTGTTAGTGCAACATTTACTTTACTTTTAGGTTTTAATTTGAGTCATTCTTCCCCCACTGGCTCAGTGGGTGTGATGTTTAGACTTTCAAATTACATTATTGGGAATTATGTTAAGCATGCAGTAACAATGATATATGTTATGCCAAGCTGCATGCAAATCCAAGCAGGCATAAACTGTGCCACTTTAATGTTTAGCTAGTTTATCAGACTGCTGTCAGTGTCACTAGGAAATCATGTGTGTCAAAATGTAACCAGGTTCAAGCTTTATCGCGTCAGCATCACGCAGTATGGGAAACTCATGTAAATTCTCATCGCAGCAGATCACATTCTAACAAACTGCGCAAGTCACAGTCGGAAGGCGAAAACAGCTCCAGCCAGGAAACAATTAAAATGTTGGATAGGAGTTATAACGTTGTAACGCCAGACACAAATTGTTTAGCCGAGCATGCCTCCAGCTATTCTCCCCTCTCCTTTAAACACAAGGTTGAGATGACTCATTTGTTTGCAGTTTGCTTTCATACAAGTCTTTCATACAAATTTCAGCACATCAATTTGAGTAGAATATTGCACAATAATGTCTTTTTATGCAAAAATGTCTCTTTAAAAAAAAAAAAAAAAAAAAGAATAGTTTTTGGCAGGAGGCATCAAAGTCTGTCACCAACTGTCTGACTTGAGATGCCACATTATTCTGGGCTGTAACTTCTTCACTGCCTGGTAAAGGTTTTATTTATTCCAAAGCTCAAACTGAAACAAAAACAGAGTTTCTCCCACAAACCAGCAGCGAGAACACTCCTGCAGCTACAAATCAAAATGTGGAAACAATATATCCTTTCAAATTTGGATGATGAGTTGGGGTTTGGGGAGGAGTGACATACCGCCATCCTCACCAGCCTCTCTCTTCCATGCTCCATGCTCATGCTTCCAACCCCTAATCTTGACTGCAGATGCAAATAGTCTAAAAAACGTCCCTACCAAACATTTGCATTTAAACAAATAGATAAAGGTCATTTTGAAAAGCTGCCTCCTCATGACTGCATTGTGAGGTGGCATGTTCCATGTGTCCCTGCCCTCCTGACAGCCTAGTTAAAGCTCCCACTGTGGCACGCCACTCAGTGTGGTGCTGCACGCTGGGATTTAGCTACTGTAGGCAAATACAGCAGAGGGAGAACAGAGAGGCCTCTGTGTGTGTGTGTGTATGTCTGTGTGTGTGTCAGACTGCTCAACAGCATCATGGAGACAGGTAAGACACATTCATATACAGGCTGCTCCTGCAGTCATTACTATTGGCATATGTTTGTTTTTTAACCTGTTAAAAATCAGATTTTTTGCTTTTTTAATTTCACAAGGTAGTGCTTTTACTTTGGAGGGTGCATGGCAAGACTTTTAGTGGGATCTTTTTTTTATGTGTAATAATGTCATCTATATTCTGGCTAGTTTTTGTGACACAGGCGCTTTCCTGCTATTGATTTCTTATAAGAAATATGTTGATTTAGTAGCAATGATATAAGAAATGTACCTGTAAGTAAGATGTCTGCTGGATACAATTCACATAAATCAGTGTTTGATATTTAAAAGATGCTTTTAATATTAAGAATGCTTAGTCATCATATGCTAATCAATAAGATTCATATAGTTACATTTATTTAAATAAGGAACAATAGCTTTCAGAATGATGTTTGGCAAAGCAGCAAAGTGCAAAATATATATTTTTATGATGTATTGCAACATAACATTTCACATTTTCAAGAATCTCATTGGGGCTTATCTAAAATATCCATTCAAAAAGCTGGGATCTTTTACATAAAGTTTTTTGCATGCAATTTCCGTTTGCATAATAAAGTTTGCATTTTCATTGACTTTATGCCTCTGCTGCTTCCCAGGAATGTCCCCAAATCACACCAGCACATATGTGAGATTTGTAATATATAATAGCAAATGTGCTGCTTCTGCTACTGTGTAACTACTGTTTGATTCTTTTGTAGTCAAGTCCTCCTCCGCTGCAAGATCTCAGCCAGTGTTTGTAGTAAATTGCCTCTTTTTAGAGGTCCATTTGCATTGACCAAACCAAAGGCAATTTCCATGACATTTACACACCAATCCCAAAGAGTCATTCGCCTATATGAATGAAACTGTGAAGCATTCAAATGAACAACACATTTGTGGGGATGGATGAAAATTTGTGTGAAGTCAAACTGTTTCTGGATTTGTATCAAATGTTCAAACTTCTTTTTTCTGCTCCGTCTAGAATACTCTAAGAGAGTGTACCAGGGAGTCCGAGTCAAGCACACAGTCAAAGACCTGCTGGCGGAGAAACGATCCCGACAGACAAATGGGGCCAGATACAGTGTAAGCACAATCTCCTCTAAACCTTTGCCTTTGTCCTGTTCTGTCTCTCCCCACTTCATTTTTCTCCCAAACCAAACAGCACAGCCACAGTTGACATTCTGTTGGTGGCACAATTAAGAGGTCGCCTTTTAAAAATCCTCCTCTCCTTGTTTACATTTTGGCTTGTTTTGTGGACCAACGATCCATGGTTGATCCATTGACCACCTGTACCTCCCCCCCACCTTCTGTCTCTGCTCCCCTCAAGCGCTCATAAAGCCAATCTGTAAATAGCTGAGCACCGTGTGTGTGGAGAGAGACACAAAGCACCCAAGTCCCATCCCGACCTCACAAAGGAACGCTGACACAATGCTCGCAATGGCGGCGATCTCCCGAAAACTCCCCCTGAGGTGGAGGCGGGGTGGGAAGACTGAGCTGGACAGGTAGCATAGAGACACAGAAAAAGGGCAGTGGAGGAGGCTGCCTATGCAAAGTTTGATCCACACACACCTGCCAGCCGACATTGTCCTCTGCTGAGCACAGGCCGCAGACAAGCCTCCCATTGTTGTCTCGGAAACGCACGCCAACACACTCACACAATCAGAGAAATCATGGGCTCTGCTTTTTAGACCTCTGCATGCACAAGCAAGACCGGCTTTTCATTTTGCCCAAACCGCCTGTCAAAAGGCTTTTACAGGACACCATTCACTGTTTGTTTGCTGTTTAGCGTCGGCATGTCCACTCTATAGATATGCAGGCCGCTAACGACTCGCTTAATGAGGGGATTGTGTGAGAGACAACAAGAGGAGATACCATCAGATGCATTTTGCATGAGATTTCCAGCTTGGACTTTTATTCAGAGTTTGTAACTTTAGAAAGAGGTCACAAGCACCGGGCTTGGGTCCTGTGATATGGGGGGGAGTTGTGAGTCAGAGGACAGTAAGGCAGCAGCAATTCTTGGCTGTGCTGGTGAAAGATTTATTTAAACACAAGTTGTTGTGGATTCAGAGCTGCTCTGAAAGATGGAATATACATGTGGTCGAGTTCAGATTCACTCGGCAGAGCCAAACCAACAGATTTTTAGGGTGCAGGTGGCTGACTGGTAACTTTGAGCTAGCATGTAATCCAGCCTTATGACCGAAGATGTTCATTTTTAAAGATCCCCTCCAGACATGTATAAAGACAAATATATAAATACACTAATGTGTGGTTTTTTTTCCACAAAAAAGTATAATTTCCCCATTAAAATCCTTTGAAGGTCATCTCTTCCTACCACATTAAACCTTCCATAATCTCTGAATATGCAAATGTTGTTCATTTCTAGCTTCAAGTTTCTACATCACACTATACAAGTTGCATACTGGACCAGGTTTGACTTACTCACTATCAATGAGCACAGAGAAACTTTCCACTTTCAGCAGATGAATGTGAAAACATCCTTCTAGTGTCAAACTCTGCACAGACATCATTCAAACAGCTCACTGTAGGAATGAGAAGCAAAAATTATTTCTGACTGGAGGGGAACTTTAAAATTAACCTTTCAAGTTGTTGCCATTCATGTCTTCCTGACGCAGTTTGGCTTCTTTTGTTCCATTTTTTCCAAATATTCTTTGATAATTAAGGTTAAGACTTCTAATTGTCATCAGATCCCATTCAAAGACCAAAACCAACAATGAATTTATTTTCCTGACGAGTACTGTGTGTTTGCCCAAAGCCTGATATATGTTACTTCTCTGTGTGTGCTATAGTGTGAAACTAAAAATAGCTACATGTTCCTGTACAACCTTGGCAGAAAACATGCTTATGTAAGACCCATCACCTGTCGTGTGAAGCTGAATTGAAATTGGTTTTCAGGGCCTTAATAAATATCAATGAGCCACATTTTTGTATTACAATAAACACACACTGTAGTTTATTTAGACTTAATCCCACACACACCATCCTTTTTACTCCAAGGCTGAAAATAATGCCCAACAAATGCACTGTTTCCTCCTTGTTGAGTAACTTTTCCTCAGAACCACAGCGTCCATCTGTTTTAGGAAATTACTGAGCCTTTTCGGAAAATTAAACTTTGTTCTGTGATCCTTTTTGTAAAGATATACATCTCCTGTAGGTACCAGCTGAGAGCTACAGACAGACAGGGTAGAGACGTCAGAAAGTGTTGTTAGACAGGCTAATGCATTAGTGGTTTTGGTCTTTTATGGGATTTGTTGACGGTAAGAGAAAATGCAATAATGCAAACCATATGCTTTAAATCTGGCTCCAGAACAGCTTTGCTTCTGAAAAATCTGTATATGTAATATGTATGTAAGTTGCATCGTTTGAGTGGGGCTGAGATACATCTTATTTGAAGTTGTTTGCAAGGTGCTGACATCAAAATGAAGCCAGAAATGAATGGTGTAAAAGCAGAACTGTCCAAACTTGACTTTAAACCATGACTTCCAACATGTGGAGGCAGCAGTGTGTTGAAGAGGAGACAAGTGTCTCTGTCAGGGGTCAATTGAGTCCACAGAGAAGACAACAATAACAGTTCAAGAATCTAGCTTTGGCCTCTTCACAATAGCAATAACAAGCTCTCTACAGTGTTACACAACTCAAAATGCTGAATTACTGGTTCAGTTTGATAGCTGAGCTTAGATACAGGATTAAAAATAAAAGATTCGTTTGCATATAGGCTGTCATTTCAAATGCTTATTTAGAATAAAATCCAAAAGAATCCCACATTAAAGTGTGATGATGTAACTTTTGAAAGAAGAAATATCACATTTATACTCTTACAAATTAAAAGTTAAATTAACAAGCAATAAAGCACACCTTTGATCAGTTTAATGAGCTCAGTGGCTTTGCTGCTACAGTCATACTTGGTCTAGTGTGACCAGTAGATTAAGGTAGCTAATGTTAGCTAATGTTAGCAAATGTATATATACTGTATAACTTAGGTGGACAGATGAAGCTGTGTATTTGACATTACTGAGTTAGTTCAATGACTGTAATGCTCAGGGGCATGCTCAGAGGGGGGTCTGGGGTGCCCCAAGTGCCACCCGATTTAGAATGAGGATACTGGTATCATGTGAAACTATGACCTAAGGCATCCATTGGTCCATATTAACATGTGGGGAAGGGCCCCCAAAGTTAGGTAAAATCTTGGCAATGGAAAAACTCAAAGGTTTCAGGTTCAAAGGGATCCCTTGACCTCTGACCTCAAGATATCTGAATGAAAATGGGTTCTATGGGTCCTCACAAGTCTTCCTTTTGCAATCATGCCCACTTTATGCTAATCCCATGCATGTGGTATAAATGTTATTTTTGCCTAGTGTACTTGAAGATGTCTGCATATTGGGGTCCATAAACAGTATTGGATATGTATAAACTGGGAATGCCTGGAAAGTTAGGACACATACATTCATGCCACCCCTACGTCAGTGCCCCACTTGTGCCAACCTAGTCAAAAAAGTCTGGAAACACCCCTGGTTACACTGCGTTTTAGCACTGACCATTATCCTCCAACCCCTTTAGCTGCCCGTCAAAGCTTCATGGGGGGCCGCAAGGCCTTCTTGAGTAATATACATTTAAAGTAAATTGTCAAATGAAACAGTGGCCAAGAAAACACTGAATTTGTCACAAAAAAAGAAGCCTACAAAGTATGTAGAATCTAACTTAACTTACCGTAATGTTAATTACTGACATCAAACTTGGAAAGAACACAAGTTCATCTGATTCCTGTTCCCACAATTCACTCTTGAAGTGTAAGGAAGTTTGTATAATTCTTTAAAATGATGAAAAATACATAATACAGACAGAGAATTGTATAGAAAGTTCCCCAAACATGAAATAATCTGCTCAAAATTCATCCAAATCATTAATTTTACACAAACTTCTTGCACCTACTGAGTTAATTATTTAGGTTCATTGTACAGTTTTTAATATAATATGATATACCCATAAAATATGTCACTTAAGCAGGGGTCATTAGTTTACTAAATAATATAAAAGGGGTCCCTTAAAGAAAAAGGTTTGGAACTACTGCTCTAACTGCCACTTGTGGCAACAGTTCAGGGGGCACTTCATGAATACATTTGAACTGAAGTGAACCTGGTGTAGTATTTTTTAGCTTAGAGAAGTTTTATTATGAAGTAATTTCAAATTTCTTATTGTCAGCTCAGTATATGTTGACTTACATACTTCCATCACACTGGCTTGTACATGCAGGTATCTGGCCTGCCGTTCGGCACCTTTTCAACGCAAGGTTTGCTTAAATGTTTATAAATGACTCATGAAGACCTAACGATGCACAGAGACACACAGTAACTAAAGCCATCCACGTCCTTATGTTAGCTAATGCCACCTTTTATCTGCGGGAATAAAAGGCCATTGAGAGCGAGGAGCAAACTCTGACCACAGGGTCGGTCTCCTCATGTTGGAACACGGAGAGCCACAGTGACAATATAAAGACCTTACATCATTTCACCTCATCTGTCTCTCCTTTCTGAGAATGTTTCTATTGAGGTGCTGTGCCCAAACATGCTGCAGTGCTATTACATAAATGATTAAGGACGTTGAGAAATGAAGTCAATGACATATTTTGAGGCTGGAGACACTGTGCGATGTTTGTCTGGGTACAAGAACTCAAGATAATACTGAATTTTAATGATAGTTGTAGGGACATTGTGGCACTGCAGCAGCAAATCCTGATCAAATAAAATACTGAATAACAGAACAGAAACAAAACATAGGGGTCATTTGAACAAAAAGTCATGAAAATTCAAATACTAGAGCATGATGAATGAAAAGTAAGTAAAGTGACTGCAATAAAGCAAGAAAGATAAAAGAGACTTTATGTGTAATGTTCAAATAGTCTCACAAAAAACTGTGTAACCTGTGTGTTCACTTGTTATAGTATGAAACGGTGGGACTATTTTGAAAGTATCAGCGTGGTAATATGAGCATATGAAGAGTGTTTTACATAGGAAGGAAGAGTTTTTCTCTGAAATAATGTTAAATATATCCATCATCATTATCCCCCCCCCCAACACACACACACGCACACACACACACACACACACAGCCGACAGTCAGAGCTTGAGCGAGCTGATTTCCATACACAGCCTTCAGAGATGCACTGGGCCGTACCTGGGCCACATGAGGAAGTCTTGGCACTGGCAAATCACATTCAAATTATGGCCTCAAAATTTGCTTGCCTCCCGGCCAACGCGGGCTTAATATCAACTCTTTCATGTTAGCAGTATGCAAACAAGCGAGAGCCTCTCCTGTCAAACCCTGTCTGTGTTTCTGCTGCACTCTGATATGTCTGACTCTGCACGAATCTCCAACTGCTTTGAGAACAGAAACAGACAAATGATTCATGTTGGTGGTCAGGAAGATTAAGAGATTAACAACATGAAAACATAACATTTATGTCAATTATAGTATTGATCTAATATGACTAGATGAAGGAGCTAACAGTAACAGGATGCAGCACAGGGAAATAGACCATAATCTTGTCAACACTATAGACTCATGCTGTGCAGCCAAACATTGTTCTAATGGAGACGTAAATATGAAACTAGGAACAGTCATCAGCTGCATTTTCAACTTCAAATACCGAATTTGTCCAATTTAATATTGTAGATTCTCGTTGGCACAGATGAGCGCATGGATGTTATTTTGCTGAAACGTAACATTGCTGTGTTGATGGTGTTTTTTATACCCTTTCACATGTTTTAGCTGTTTCGGCTCTGCCTGCACATCTTATGTGAATATTCATAGGGTGTCCAGAGGGAAGTATGGAGACTACCTAGTAAAGCATTGAATAGAAGTATCTAAAGGTAGCATTAGAAATCGCCATATCTTCAATGAGGCCATAACAATTAATTATGTGTTACTCACTGTTTTGTAACATGTTATTTTTAGTTTTGATTTTTTATTAACATAAACGAATGTGTTTATTTGACAGCATTTGACACCAAACTGGGGCATCAGATGGCAGCTACCACCTCATGCCACTCTAGATCCCTGTATGAGATTTTGTCACACAGAGTGGAAAGAAGAGAAGAGAGTAAGAGATAAATATATATTATAACACAGTTACACTCCAGCAGTTAGTGAATCATGAAGTTGTTGATGTGGATTTGAGCAGTTATTTTCAAGGATAAATTCAGATTCAAATGATTACATTTAGTCAAATAGTGAAATTAAGTTCAGTTTTGAGGTATTTGTACTTCACAGTAATTCCACTTCTATCCTACTTCTACTCCCCTACATGTCTGAGGGAAACATTGTACTTTTTACTCATTTATCTTACAGATATGGTTAATAATTACTTTTCAGATTAAGAGTATAAAGATTAAACACTAATGTGTCTAGTGCAGTGTGTGAACCATACCATGGCTTTCAGGGGAGCTCACTTTTTTTTAGTACACACCTGAAGTCTACTTGCTTTTTTGTCAGCTGCACATCCGATACAATGAATGAGGTATAAACAAATAAGATTTATTAAGCAGAATAATTTTATAGAATATTAATAATATTAATATTAACATTAACATTGTGGAAAATATAAATGTAGAAAATAATTCAAACTAAAAACTGGCTTTGGCTCTGCTGCCTGGTAATTACTCCAGTCTTCACAATATTATACAATTAGCTTCAGCTATACAGTGTGAACATCAGCCTACTGGCTCCCCCAGATTTCCTTTCATACATTTTCAAATATAGAATTTATACCAGGGCTTGGCTGAATACTTGATGGTTATTATTTACTGAGAGATGTGCATCCATATTGCCCAGTATGCCCTGCTGATCAACATTTAAATCCAAAATGTAATCAATACTCAGTTTCAATCCACTGCTTTCCATCTCACATTACAGAGCTGAAACTAAACTTTGACTGAGACACTAACTAATCATTGTGTTATTTAGAAATGAAGAGCGTCTGTGAGCAGCGCCATCACGCCCATATATTATCTGGACTGGTGCCAAGAGACGTTAGTGCTCCTGGAAAGAGCGAGTTTCATTCTGTGCATGCACAATGCGACTGCCTAGCTGCAGTTAATAAACACTGCTGCCAGTTGGTGTTTAACAAACACAGAACAGACAGATAGACTGTCAGCTGTACAGACAGACATAATGGAGAGAGACAGATGCTGCAAGCTGCACATCAGCTTTACATTATTGTTATTTACTGACATCAAACTTGGAGAGAACACAAGTTCACCTGACTCCTGTTCCCACAATTCACTCTTGTGGTGGTTTTTCCTCTTTTTCTGACGGATAGTCCGTTCATCCTCTTATCAAAGTTGTAAACATTGACACTGGGTTTGACATGAAGGGGAGACGGGGCCCTAAGCAGCTTGTGTAGTGGTATAGGATGTACAGGTTCTGCCTGTTTGGAGGGTCCGACCCTTACTTTGGGAACCAAAGGCCCAAACTACATTACTTATATAAAGTAGATAAAAGTGCCTCCATCTTGTGCGGCTACAGCAGTAAAACACTGCTTACAGATGGATTTATCAGTGTTATTCATTTAATAATGTCGCATATAATCATATATCAGTCACAGGGGCCATTGTCCTGCAGAATGACTACTTTTACTTTTGATACTTTAAGTACATTTTGTTGATAACACTTTTGTACTTTAATTTATGTTGTAGGATTTTGAATGCAGGACTTATAATGATATTATTTACATGTATTGTTTTATATTTGTTTTTTTTAAAGTAGATAATCAATAGTTTTGCTATAACAACATTTGAACATTTGACTCTTTTTACCTCTTTTTAGAGGTTGGTTGTCTCATTATTATTATTATTATTATTATTATTATTATTATATTATTTAAAGGCTAGATCCTCCCCAGACTGCTCTTTCTGTCAATTTGGGTATGTGGTAATAATAATGGCTAATGGTGCTAACATATTAAAATCGTACGTCAGACAATTCATACACTACAAACTATATTGTGATATTGCTGCACCAAACTGTATCCTGATGGTGTAATGCTCTGTGCTCTGGGTGTGAACTCTTCTGTCTTTTATACATCTCTGTATGTCCCTATTTGTTATGTTTGCAATTTCACAAACAAAGTAAGCAAAATAAGATAACTTTTTCTTACATTTTATGTTTATTACAATAATAGTCCACGGCTATTCATTAAAATGAAAGTAATAAAGAAAAACCTGTTGCTTATCTGGGACTTTTTAAGAGTCAAAAGGGGAGCCCGACATTTATTTGTACTTAAATGCAAAATGTGCAAACATTTTTATTACAGAATAATTTGCAGTCTGTGTTGTACATTCTGTAGAAGATAGACATGCTGTATGTTCAACAAGTGTAGGTATATCATTTCATTTACATTTTTTTGAGGGACACTCCTAATAAAACGTAACTGACCCACACAGACTAAGGCCCATGAGCAAATACAGGTGGATGTATAAAATGTGTTTGCAGCTCAAACATTTAACAAAATCTTGATATAAAAGACAACTTTAAATAACAGCTGGAAGTGCTGTGTTCTCAGAATGGAGACTAAAAAGAAACACAAACAACATAAGTAGCCATGTAGCTTTAATGTGTTTGCTCAGGACTGGAACCAAGCAAAGTGCGTGCTTAAGGGAATTTGACTGGAACAACATGCGTACAGTGTCTGGCGTGTGTGACAGAAACAATCCATTTCACTCCGTTTTTTTTTGCTCTACGTCCAATAACAGTTGGACTCCTTCCTGTGCTGAGACATGCTATGTGCTAGTCTCGTCTATGCAGCAGCATATACAGTCTATAGACACATTGTAAGTTAACAGCTATACTAGCTAGCTAAGTAATTAGCTACACTTTTGCTAATATTCGCTATCAGCTCAATTCAATTCAGTTTTATTCGTATACCGCCAAATCATAACATGACACTTTTCAAATAGAGCATGTTTAGACCGTACTCCTTATAAAATGATTTACAGAGACCCAACAACTCCCACAGATAGAACTTATTAGCTAATTATTGTAGATTAGCTAGCTAGTTTGCAAGTGTTTAGCTCTGTAGCAAAACTGTCCAGCTAACAACTGATGTGGATTAGCTGTGTAGTTAGCTGGCGCTTTGCTAACGTTAGCTAACTAAAGATGTTACTATATATCCAGTATGTTACTTTTATCTTTTAATCATCTTCAAAATGTGGTTGTCTTTACTAACAGTAGCTTTGTCTCTTAGCATGTCTAAGAACAGGAAAGGAGGATGTAAACTGAGGTTCTGACCGAGGCTTGCTCAACTGTTATTGGAGCACAGAGCAAAAAGGGGCGGGACAAATTGGGAAAAAGTGTTTCAATTTTAACATGTGATCATTTGGATCTGTATCATTTTTTCCCGCGTCTAGTAATCCATAAATAAAAGCAATCAGTCCGTCAACTAAAATGCCTTATTCTATTTATTTTTCTGTCACAGGGAGGATCGACCACTCCGCCTTCATTTGTCCAGATGTCAGGTGAGACTGTTAATCAAGTACAGCATCAAACATCTTCACCACTCACAGCCTGCAAAACAGATCTTTCCACGCAGTCTCAGTCAGCACTCTCATTATTACTGTAATTATATCATTGTGACTTGGGGTCTTATATCTTTCTATTGTTATCTGCAGGGTCCCACATGCTGCCCAGCTACTACGGCATGAGGCGTCCCTTCATCTCAGACTCAGACTTCTGCCCGTCCACCAAGCAGTTCTCCCCCGACGTCTACTCGTCCACGCTGGGTGGTAAACCTCTGGGCTGCGAGCCCTCTGCCATGACCAGCTACTCCTCCCTTATTGACAGCTACTACCCAGAGACCTTCGGCGATTACCGCAGCGCTGCGGCCTTCTCCAGCTCCGGAGGGTCCTTCCTGCCTTCATCGGCCCTCTCATCCCTGCTGCCCCCCTTCGGTGGAGAGTCTTCGCATTTGTTTCTAGTAAGAAGGGGTCCCTTCTTTGTGCATGTCTGAGTAATGAGGGGGATGGACAGGAACTGCACGATATATGAGTATTAAGGGTGAATGTAAAACATGCGCAGTCCTGGGAGGAATGTCTGTCTCTATTAAACAACAGTCCAGTTGTTCATTTTTAATAGAGACACAAATAAGTGTAGGCCACATAAGTCTGACAGCAGATCAGTTTACAGCACACATACGTGGTTAAATAAATTCAGGCTTTGATGACAGATATTCCTGTTTGTACATTAATAGGAGTAGTATTAACACACTACACTCACACCCGTGTTCACTAACTGGATGGTTTGTTATCTATATATTGTGTGTCTATGCCCACCCTCCTAACATTGCCAGACTGAACTAGAGCTCTGTGTCTGAGTGCAAAGTCACAGTCTGTTTATTTGGCTTCTTACAGACACTTATGCAGAGTGTTTGACACACTCTCAAACTTAAATTCAAAGGTCCAATGTGTAACATTTAGGAGGATCTATTGTCAGAAATGGAATATAATATTCATAGGTGTGTTTTCATTAGTGTATAATCAGCTGAAAATAAGTTACCTTAGAATGAGCTGTTTTCAATCTACAGACACCTCATGTCGCGTTCCGTTGCCGCTGCCATGTTGAACCGTCATTTTTCTACAGTAGCCCAGACCGTAAAAACACTGGCAGTTTCGCAGCCACCGTTGTTTGGAAAGAGAGGGGGAAGCAAGTGTGTTGCAGTTTGCAACTACACCACTAGATGTCACTAAATCTTTCACACTGGACTTTTAAGACCAAGCTAGTGTGAAAATCTCTCTTAGAGCTGTTGTGTTATGAACATTATGAACTAGGCTTTGAGAAAATGTGTTCAACCTCTGATTTAGGGATTTAAATGCTTTTATTCCAAATTTATTATTTTATTTTTTTTAATTAAAAAGTTCACTTAACTTATCATTAAATGAGCAGCACTCAGAGTGTGAAAACAGTCGTATGATGTCCTCTGTGGCTCTGAAGGAGCTTTGTCAAGTAAAAATAAGCCTGATGATTTAATAAAGGCACTATTGAGTTGCATTATGGAAGTTGTAGGGTGCTACATTTACAGAGAATTTTCACTAGAGAATATAAGTCAGGATATGTCGACCTCTTCTTTATTCATGGGAGGCCCTCTACTTTGTGAAAGTCTAGTAGTAAATTGCTGAGGTTCCCTTTTGACTGTAGTGCTATGTAGATTTTTTTTTGGACACGTTCTGAGATTTCTTTTCCCAGCCTGAAACAATGGAGGTGAATGGGTTTTCTTTGAATTGTTTAAAGCTGCAGTGGGTACATTTTATAAAACGTTGGAAGCTTGAAGATAGTTGATAGTTGAATCTCATTCCTAGAGTCCCAACACATCTGTATTGGATGCCCTGGGAATGAGACTCCACAATCAACTATCTTTCTTGGTTCTGATTGGTTGCTTTCGTTCAAGCCCGGTGGATTCTTGTAAATACTATTAGGAGCACTAGGAGGAGCCAGAGGAACCTGATTGTTTCACAGTTTATCTGTCTCATGTACTACTGTCAGGATGTAGTGAATATATGGTTTTAGTATAAATTACCTACTGCAGCTTTAAAGTAATAAAAAACATTATTTTTTATTTTTTAATATTATATATATTTTTAATTGCTGTGTTAATGTGTCATTTTAAAATCAAGGAGAACCATTTAAGATCCTGAATTCTGAAACATAATTTAAAAAAGCTTGAATGCTCTTCTCATTCTGGTAAATAGGTGAATGCAGTACATGAGTGTCCTGAGAATAAGAATGAGAACAAGAAATATTATTACTGATATGAACATGCAGTCTGACACTATCTCTTGTCTTCCGGCCTCAGAGAGACTCCTGGGAGCAGTCTGTTCCAGAGTCAGTATCCCAGGTGGAGACTCTGTGTCCGGACAGCCTGGCCTCCGTCAGTGTCCCGCCCTCCATGCCCAGCCCAGAACCCCCAGGGAGCCCCTCGCAGTACCGCTCCCCCAGCCGCGGCTCCTCCATGGGCCCCATCTCCAGCAGCCAGCCCTACACCCTGCACCCCCTGGAAGACGCCCACTACCACCCCTTGACCACCAGCAGCTCCTATTCGGTCCCATCCACATCATTCCCCTGCCCGCCCTACATGAGCAGCCCTGTCAGCGACCTGGTGTCCAAGATGGTGACGGAGGAGGCGGCCGACAGCCATGCCAGCCTCCCTCCCAACGGCGAGGCTCCATCCTGCTGGGCCAAAGAGGACGGCGTGAGCTCCTGGTCTCCCTACGAGATCAGGAGGGCCTACTGACCGGAGGACGGACTGAGGTTGAGAATTTAGGTTTCACAGACAATTAAAAAATGACTTCAACAAGCACTTGACAATTTACAAAAAGAGGATTCAAGTTTGAATATGTTGGTAGGAGCCTATGATGACCACGGTTACAGCCTGATCTGATGGGAAACTCCTACTTATTTGTAAGAAAGCATGTGTGTCTTTTTTGTTTAATTTGTATGTAAAAGAGTGATCAGTATGGACTTGATCAGAAACAAATCCCACCATAAGCCTTAAAACTGAAAACTTTGAAAAACAAAGATTAAGTGATGTAGTATGTAAGTGTATGTGACCATGTTACATGCTAAAGACCCTAAACTTACATGGTACTTGGACTCCCCGAGGGTAAGATTGTGGAGTAGCTGAACTAATATGTAGCCAACAGTACATACAGTATGTCCACATATTTGTGTTTTAGTGAAAACAGACATACAAGTAGCATTTCAAAATGGTGTGAGGCTGATCATCAGTATATTTATTGCCAGAATAACCAATAAACCGCACAAGACATTAGGTTCCTGTTCCTAATGGCATTTACGCCTAATTGTCTGAACGAAAAGAAATAATCAGAGCCAAGAAAGATAGTTCATTGCCGTCTCATTCCCAGGTTGTCAAATACAGACTCTTTTGGAATGAGACTCAACAATAAACTCTTTCTTGGCTCTGATTGGCTGCTTTTGTTCAAACGCAGTTGATTTTTGTAAATACCATTAGGAGCACTAGGAGGAGCCAGAGGAACCTGACTTTTCACAGATTATCTGTCTCATGTTCTACTGTCAGGATATAGTGAAAGTTTCAGCAAATATGACAGAAGGTTATTTTCATAAAAGTTACCCACTGCAGCTTCAACACCACATGTTGTGCTTGAGAGTTTGAGAGTGTTAAAAAGTAATGGATAAATCCAGCAGGCATACTTGCTCAAACCTACTAATAGAACATATTGTAACAACACCCACTTTAATAGAATACATAGTGTTGTTTAACAAATATCAGTGCAAAAGAACACATTGGGAGCATGACTGGTGGCGTTGATGAAGTGGTTCTTCAGCTTGTCTGACAAGGTTGACAACCATCGCTTGAGGAGATTTTTCCCAAATCCTCTTCTTTTTTTTTTTTACAGAGTTACATAAGTGTGTATAATTTAGGTGATAAAAAAACGTCAAATAATAAAATATCTGAAAGCTTGAAAGGCCTTTCATCAGCTGTCACATACAATCCCTTATTGTGATAGCTTAGCATTCAAAAAGCACCATATAAACAATCAATAAATGGTTTTTAATACATTGTTACTTACTATATTGTAATTGAAAACAGACATTTGCAGTGTTCAATAATGTCTTTGTTACTCACATGAATAAAACTGGCACAAACTTTAAAGATCTTTTAAGGCAAAAAAAAAAAAGACAACAGTAAGACTCATTTAAAACTCTCCAAAGTCCTTTGCTCTCTATGTTTGATGAAGTCATGCAGCATTGTGCAATGATAAATATACTTTTCACTAAAGTCAGGTCTGTGTTTGTGTCCACGATGCTTCATTCATATGTGTTATTAGGGGTTAATATTTATTGATATCAAAATAAATGTGTGTTATACATTAAGTGAAATTAAAAATGACTTATAATGTTGTTTGTTTAAAGTTTTTCTGAATTACAAATGAAGTGTTTAAACACTGGTTGGTAACGGTGTGTTATATATGTTTTATTGTGTAATCAAACATTCATTAACACACTAGCATGAACACTTCCTGGGAGGAGTTATAGTGAATTAATAAAAACAAATATCCTTATATCTGCCTACAACCACACTACAGTGTGTTACAAACCAGTGCTTTTCAAACTGGTGTTCAGGGACAAACAGGTACTTGAGGGGGTTTTATGGGGGTCCCTAATAGGATATTTTAACTTTTATCACATTTTTGGAAAGTGGAAAAACAAGGGAAGAAATAGGTTGGGTGTTTTTATTTATTATAATTTATAGTGGGCCCCAATTTGATCATCTTAAAACCTAAAAGTGCTAAATATAGGGGGATAAAATACCCAAATGCTTTTAGTCAAATCAGATTGGCACACACAGAACACACAGTTCTGTTTACCATGTAGAATTGTGATGTTTAATTAATAGACCCGCTATTATATTACACACCATTGTTTTAATTGAGGAATTTTACCTAAAAATCAACTGCAATCAAAGTACAGACAAATACTGACAGAACGGGCTTCATACTGTGTACAGTCTTATACGTGTGTGTGTGTGTGTGTGTGTGTGTGTGTGTGTGTGTGTGTATCTTTAACACACCACCTTGCAAAATGAATCTAAAACGAATCAAAACTGTAGCAAAGAAAGAAAGAAACCTTTCATATCAGCCAATCCATTTTATTAAAGGTGTAAAGTGCGTCCATACACTGCTACCGCACTCAGAGCTGGTTGTTTCCGATGGCCGACCGCTAGGTGGAGATCCTGCACCGCCGCTGTGAGGGAGAACACCGCTGGATGGAACGAGCAGAGGACAGAGTTGAAGAAGTCTTTTAGTGTGTGTGAGGTAGTGAAGAGGGAAATTTATGAAAAGTGCTTGAGATGACCGGAGAGAGCTTTTAAGCGAATATGAAACAGAAACATGTAGCCTAATATTGGTCAAATCTTACATTTTCTTTATGGAGTATGACTACTGCTGCTGCTGCTGCAACAAATATTACTACTCATATAGTTGTAGTAATTATGATTATAGTCCTGATCATTATAGTAATAATAATAGCCTAATGGGGTTTAAGGGATAAGGTTTGACCAGTTAGAGAGACTGCATTGTTTCAGATGTAACAGCTGGCTAAATAGAAAATAATTATTATAAACTGTGTATTTTGCTGTAATTTCTATTAAATTAGTTAGTATCATGTGCACCCCTTATTCTAATATATATATATATATATATATATATGCATGTGTGTATATATATACACCCATACATATATGTGTCAAACTGTGGATCTTCACTGGCAAATTTGTAATTATTCTGAAATATTTGATTTTCTTTTTAATAATTCAAAGTTTCTAAAAGATAATGTGATAAAAGCTAAGAGCTGCTGTGTCCTCTCCTGCAGCCTTCAGCAGGTGAATGCGCTCAGAGCCACTTGCTGCAAGAGCTCCAGACCTGAGAAGAAAAAGATGGCTGCCCTTGACACGCCCACTTCTTCCCCACTTTAATATGTTTTTTTTTAAATAAAGCTTAAAAATATCAATTCAATATATTGCTGGCGTGTATAGTGCCTGCAGTAAGCGCATGTTCGCAGATATAAAGTGAATTGCGGTGTTTAAGACGCACAAGAGGCAGCCAGGGCTGCAGTGCTTAATGAGGGGGTGTGATGCCCTGATATTGCAAAAGGAGGATAAAATTAATAAAAGTATGGTTTCTTTTGGTCAAAGTGTAAAATACTATTATATTACATTAAAGTGAAGCTTATACAATGTCAATGCGAGGTGATTTTTGTTGAAAAATCGATATAAGTCTGTTGCCTCTGAATATTCAAATTGAAAGTAACGCGCAATCAAATCATTGTCAAATCATTGAGTTCTAGGGGTTTTAAATAGTAGGCATGGAGGGAGAAAATCTCAAACTAATATGTCCCCAGCTATATTACTATATTGTTGTATGCTCTGACGCTGCTGTAAGACTTTTGTGTTGAGATTTTTGGAGACTTTTGCTCAAATTTCGTTCTTGGCCATTTTGCTGAGGCAGAAAAGGACGTTGTGGAGTCCCACAGGTCTTCTCCAGGGGAGCCTCTCTTCATCTAAAGCCATCATGCCTGGTGAGTTTGAAGTCAGATTTTCTTCTGGAAATCGTTTTGTGGCTTATTTTCTCCTGTTAGACAGAAAAGAGAAAAAAAAAACAAGAGAGAGAGAAAGTTTAGTGGCAAAATTAAAAATCAATACAGGAATCACGTGCAAAATGTGGATGCTTTTCCTACAAATGCTCATTTTTATCACAGATTTAAATAACATATAAGATGACCAACAGTGAAATAACACTTCTGGGGATAAATCTTTGTACTTTAATGCCACCTGTTTCCTATTCATGGCTGGATCAGGAGAGTCGGCTTTCTCCATTCAAGCACTCTAACACAGCTTTACCGACTTTTAGGAATCTATTATATGTTCTATTATCATAATCAGAGCCTGTTCACATACACCAGGACATGTAGATGATCGTTTCTAAAGACACTTTTGCTATTACAGATGAATTACAACTAGAACTGACATTTCAGCCTCTCTGCACCGCGCTGCTTGTGCGTAACAGGACGTTATGATTGAACCGCGTTAAGAGTGGGATGTGTCTGCCGTGTGATTTTTGGCCCACTATTTGCCACATTTAAGACAAATCATCAAGTAGCATTTCGCCGTATGAATATTTATCAGATGAGGTTTTCGCAGCCGATGCTTCGTCCTGTTATCAAATCACCTTTTTCCAAACGGCTTGCCACTCCTGAGTGCATTAAATTACGCCTTTAGGCCTAAATTGCGTGAACCTATGCGAGGCGTTTCTCGGTTCCGTAATCAAGCTTCACCTATAGGACAAATACGGCCAATATGTCCCCTGTATAAGCGACACTGCGTGTCCAAGCTGAGGGCAGGGGTGATTTGAATAAAGTAGCAGAGATTGGAGAAGAGTTTAGGTTTGAATAATAAGCCGCGCGAGGGTGGAATTGCTCGAGATTCTCAATAATACAACAACAATCTGATCAAAGTGAAGCAAACTGAACTTTGACTAAATGAGCGGACTCAGGTAACCCAGAGCTGGAATGCGTAATGCGTAAACAGTTTTTACGGATAGTTGTGGCGCTGACTTTATCGAAACAAACTTTACTTCGGTGTCGACTTTTACACACAACTGTAGCTCAGACCGACAACTTCAGCGCGTTCACTACGAAAAGTTTAAAGCTTTATTAACCGATCCATTTACAGACTCTTTCAGCTCTTTGTTCCTGCGTCCTACGCGGTCGCCCCAAGCGCCTTTATCCAACTTTATCAAACGATCCTACGCGCATTCCAACAACTAGCTCGATCCAGGTTTGCCAGTTCAATGATAATTCTATCGTTTTACGTTTTTGATCAGAAATAGATACTTACAGTGGCGCATTTTGTGCCGCTTCTTTGTTCCTGGTCTGGGCGTGGAGGCTGAGAGCGCGGAGCACACACAGGCTGCAGTGCAAGAGTCTGCTGACGGCGAAGTAGGGAGCGCCGAGCTGCCGTAAAGAGGGAGCGCTGGCCGTTGGCTCTAGGGGGGCTGGGGTCGGAACATGCGGGCAAAAATACCCGGAGCCACAGCCCGCACTGAGCGCCGATAATGCACTTTTACGCACCACGGTTTCGACAAAAAATTAGACCTTAAAGCGCAACAGTATGGTTCAAATGACAGTTTGATGTTTATTATAACATGTTATATATTTCCCACCATAAAATGCACGTTCAACCGTGTGTAGTAGAGTGCTGTATGAGAGTGTGGGGACATGATAATGCCATGAAGAGATCGCAGCTTATTGGGAAAAAATAATAATGTATGGCATTTTATTTATATTGTTTTAATTTAAAGGGAAGAAAACACATTGTTGGTTTGAACTGAGGGAGTAGGAGGTGGGGAGGGAGGGGGTAGTGTGGGGTGGAGAGGAGAAGGGTCTGCTATTGTCTGCTCTAATGGAGGGTGTTGGGTAAACATGAGTGACATGCTTTTCTCCTCACAGCAGATAAACCGAGGGTGTACCAGGGCGTCCGAGTGAAGACCACAGTCAAAGAGCTGCTGCAGAGGCACAGAGCTCGGGAGGCCAGCCGTAAAAAAGTTAAAACCACGGTAACTCCCTCCCCCTCCTCTCTCTCTCTCTCTCTCTCTCTCTCTCTCTCTCTCTCTCTCTCTTTCTCTTTCTCTCTCTCTCTATCTCTCTCTCTCTATCTCCAGTACACCCTTACTGTCACTCTGGCCCCATCCACTATCTCAAAGCATGAAAGGGGAAAATCCCTCATAAACTGCCCCTGTTAATGACTGACTACAGCTCCTGACGTGTTTAACAAAGCACACACACCCACACATACAGAGATAGACACATACACACATTTGCAAAAACACTGAATTCGGAAAAAAAAAAATCTCTCTAATCCAAATCCAAATGTTCTGAGAGAAAATATCTAATAATCCTCCTCTTTCTCCCTCTTCCTCCTGTGAACAGATATCTCAGGCTTGCCTGGATCTCCAGGATCTTTGCGCGACTCACTTTGCAAGTAAGTTCAGAACAGTGTCTAATGTTAAATGAACCGATTAAAGCTATAGTTTTCCTGCAGCATTTGAATCCAACCTGACCTAAAGCAATCACAGGCTATATCCACAGTGGCAACGTACAATTTGAAAATACATTAAAGTCAATGTTTGCATGCAGTTTGCAGCGATCCAAATGAAAAATCCACAGCCACAACCACAACTGTAAATCCCTCTGTTTAGTAATCTGCTGCAGAAGACCCGCACTGGTTGCAGCACAACAAATGTTGATTAATCTACAGGAAGCAAAGTCAAAAACATAACTTCACTCCCTGATGACAGATGAGCTGCCCTGAACGCCCCAAACCAGGATCAAAATACTCACATGAAAGCCCCAGTCATGACCAACTACTCAGAAAAGTCTACTTGGAATGTAATCAACTACTAACAGCTCCATTCCAAAGGTGCAGGGTCCCTTCTTATAAACCAAGGCTACATTTAAATGTGACTGATGGTGTCATGACATCACTCTGAACTTATAGGCCCATTTAAATGTCTTCCTGTTACCATGCAGAGACTAACTGTGCGCTCTTGAGGACATTTTCCTCATGACCATTTAATCTCTATGTGGGCTATGTGGGTAGACGAGTCTTTTAACAACTTTGAACATTTCAACATTTGATATTCGGCAGAAATCCAGAGCGGATGTGAGTTGGTGTGTAGCCGATATGAAGATAAATATATATTACAGTTATATGATGCTCAACTGCAGAGTTTCTCTTTTTATTCACTTTCGGGATATTTTTTTGTCTAATCTTTTACTTTGAATTCCGTTAGGTCGCTATGTGGACCCTCCTCCCGCCGTCCCCACAGCGGAGGCGAGCGGTTGTGAGCGAGCTCTCCAGCTGCGCGCCGCCTCGTTCCCGTTCCCTGACAGCTCGTGCAGCATCCAGCTCCAAGAGAGCACCTTTAACGACATCCAGCAGCAGTTCGGGGACACGATGTTGCCCAGCAACGGCTACAGCGGCAATTATAACAACAACAGCAGCACAGGCGGCGGCGGTGGCGGCGGCGGCGGTGGCGGCTACAACGCCTCCCTGCCTCCCCCTCCCACCCTCCCGCTGCCCTGGTGCCATGGACTCTCCTCTGATGCGGACTACTATGGCCCTGGGATGGTAGGTTTCTCCCGCTGACACTAACCTAATTATATTTCGTTGCATTTTAAGGTTTCAGGTCGGTTAGAAATAATAAATATGACTCTCATCCTTATCTAGCCTATAGGTTACTCGGCGCGTATATAACCATTATTATCCTCGAAGAAAATCTGTACTACTTCAAACTGATGTATTTCTTTAAAAAACACAGTTTAAAAGTCAGGATGTATGCCGAATATATGGGTGTTTTCAGTCCACTGGTTTACTCCATTAACTATGGTTTCACCGTAATGTACTATTTCTAAGACCCCAGGGAAAACCAAATTGGATAGCTTTGGAATAGAGGTTTGGCATGGCTGTTTCTCCCTAGCACAGACCTGTGTTGGGGCTATAAAGGGAAGTGTATACAAGCTAGGCGATTAATCAATTAGTTGTCAACTATTTTGGTAATCAATTAATAGTATTGTGGTTTTTTAAAGCTATAGTTTTCCTGCAGCATTTGAATCCAAGCTGACCCAAAGCAATCACAGGCTATACCCACAGTGGCCACATACTGTTTGAAAATTTAAGTCAATATTTGCATGCAGTTTGCAGTGACCCAAATGAAAAATCCACAGCCACAACCACAACTACAAATCCCTCTGTTTAGTACAAGACAAGAACAAGACCCGTACTGGTACTGGTACAACTCAAGCTGATATTGTTACTGGATTATTCTACAAGAAGCAAAGTCAAAAACATTTAGTAAAAAAAGTGATTCATCAGTTAGTTGTCAAAAATATTCTGTTAATCAATTCATAGTTTTGAATCATTTTTTAGGAATAAAATGTTTAAATTCTCTGATTTCAGCTTCTCAAATGTGAACATTATCTGGTTTCTTTTGTCCTCTTTGACAGTAAACTGAATATCTTTGGGTTGTGGACAAAATAAAACATTTGAGGATGTCACCTGGGCTTTGGGAAACACTGATCAACATTTTTTGACATTTTCTGAACCAAACAACCAATCGATTGATTGAAGAAAATGACTTAGATTAATCATTAATGAAACTAATCATTAGTTGCAGCCCCAATACATAAACTCACCACTAGATGAAAATGTTTCAGTAGCTTTAATAAAGGAACATTTCGCCCACAGGCGTCCCTGGTGTGGCCTGGTGTCAGTCTGATCACATGACACATTTGCGGAATTCCTACTCAGACATAATCCTCACCAACCACCATGTCTTCCTCTCTCCCTCAGGCTCCCTGCTCCTCTCCGGAGTCGCTGAAGCTCTGCAACCCGGTGGATCACAACAGCTACTCGCCGCAGGACTCTTTTTCCTCCTCCTCCTCCTCCTCTTGCTACGACTCACCCACCAGGATGGAGCCCAGCTACCACGGCGTCACCTCCGACCACTACCACTATCAGCACTGCAACCGCCAGGACTGTTACTGCATGTCCCACTGCTGGCCGGCCCAGCAGGAGAGCTTCTCGGCCCCTGAATACGCACCTTACTATAACACCACAGACTATGTGTACCCCTGTCCCGTGGAGGACAGCTATTTTAGGAGGGATTTGCAGATGAGCTCTGAAATGTGTTACAACGTACTATGATGAGCAGTATTATTTTGTGTTTTAACTGTAAATAGGATTCTCTTCAGGTTCTTGGTATGGCTGTTTGCTCGATGGTCTGCTTTGCAATTCAGCGTGTGCTCTGTGACTTCTACTTTGTTGGAGTGAATATGATGAATGCTGAATGGATGGAAATGCTGATATTTTTGTATCAATTCCTTATTTTTACTACCTAGATTTATTTTCATACACACAACTTGTTGCCGTACTAAATAAAAACGTGTTAAAATGAATTTCTCTTTATTGGCTGACATTCACATGGGCAGGTGCTGTGTCATTCTTGTTAAGTCACGTACACCCCTAAAACATGCCTGGCGACCCCAGCTGCCACCCCACTTTGGTGCCAAATATTGTCAAATTAAACACATTCATTTAGATTCATTTGAAAAATAACATGTTAAAAAACTAAACTTAATTTCATGATCTGTGATGGAGCCCCATCCAAGCCTGAGTCCTTGCTGCAGCAGTCATGGGTTCGACTCCGACCTGCGGCCCTTTACTGCATGTCATCCCCTTTCTCCCCTCCTTTCCTGTCAATCTCCAGCTGTCACTATCCAATAAAGGCAACAAGCCAAAAATATATTTAAAAAAGTTTCCTTGCCAGCCTCTTGCCAGCCCATCAATATTTCTCTAGATCTGCCAAAAATATGCCAGAATATGGGAGGAGAGTCAAAATAAACAAGGCAGGCTGATAACATGTCGGGCTGAACTGTGCTGTAATGCAACACTGAAATGATGGCATCCTGAAAGATTTGACTTAACCTGCAAGGAGGACGTTCACTATAGGAGAAGGCAAAAAATATTTTAAAAAGTTAACAGGATAACAGGTTTATTAAGATGTTGACATGATGAAATCAGTACCACATGCAGTACAGATGGGCGACTATTAAAAGGGCAAAATGAACACAAACTTTCCTGGAACCCTCTCTATTCACTCAGGTGTTTAACTGATTTACAACATTTTCATTCTCATCAAACCAGTATAAAAGCTTCAGCATTTGTCCACTCATTGATTCAGGTTTTTCCTTTAATGTGTCACCTGTCTGTTGATGCTTCATATCATTTCGATTTTTGTCTGTCTTTCATCAAAGTATCCAAGCTAAGAACTAACTAGGGCTGAGGGTTACATTGAAGAATCACAGACATGACAACATAGTGCTCATGTAATGACCTCATGTCTGTTTAGTTCTTTCAGGCTAGGATCAACTGTGATAATGTGACTGTGAAGGTTCCTTGGAAAATTGGCTCAAAATCATTGAAGCAAAAACTCATGCGATGAATGCTCTGTCAGCCTTCAGCAGGCGGCTCTCGATTGTAGCATCATCAAAAAAAGCAGCACAAGGGTACAAATAAAGAAGCCATGTTGTTTTTTCTGGCAGGTCTCTAACTGAGGACACGGAGGTCACATCTGAGGCAACATTTCTGGAAATCTGGAGGGTTTAATGAAGTGAATTATTACACATATTCCATGTTGGGTTTTTAAGGCTGATTCTGATTATGTAAATCTGAAGAAAAAAAACACAAAATATTAAATAAGTGTTATGCTAAATATTCCTCACGAGCAAAGCTGGGTGGGTTTCTGCTGGAGGAATGTCAGTGAAAAACATTCATCTCAAACACCAGATTTGGTATGCTTCCACACAGTGTCAGAGCTAGAACAAATGTCAAAGTGGGGCACAAGGCTTAAAGGAGGGGCAAGTCACTGGAGAGTGGTAACATATTGGTGCCTAGTGAAAGTTAAACCATTGACTCACAGTCACAAAAGTAGTGCATTCTCATTATTTTCCTAATAATCAGACTAAAACACAAGGCAAATTTACTTAGCTATAAGTAAATGCAAGAACACACAGGTTTTACATTGACTGAAATGCATCCAAATGACAGAAAGCACCATCTGCTTTAGTCCCTCCTCTGGTACTTGGCATTATGGAAACGTCTCTTCTCACTCCTAAACAGGCTCATGGGGTAGGTGTGGAGGCTGACCTGCTTAGGCACATCTCCAAAATCATCCACAATGGTGTCAGGCTCAACTGCACTGTAAGTGCTGCAGGATGTAGCATTCAGAGGAGGACTAGTATTAGCCAGTGACACTGACAGTGACACCGAGGACTCAAAAAAGTGACATCATAAACAATGGTTGGCTTTGAATTTATTGCAGTTGAGCCGATCAACCACTTTCTGCTGTGAATGGGGTGGAAATACTCATCTCTAGCTAACTTAAAGACCCAATGACAGACTTATTTTTCAAAACTCCTGCTCAACTTGTAAAATGTTAGAAGGATTTTAGCTTCACAATGAAAACACTGACATGCTTGCATGCACAAGTGAGGGGGCACAGTGAAAGAAGTGGCGGGGGGCACTGCCCCCTGGTGCCGACTCTGCTCCCACAGCCCTCAATTCAATGGTTTTGCCAGAGATTTACATGAACATATAGACAGCACAAAACAGCAGCAACCCTCCATGTTTCCTCTTCTGTGAACGATCAAATGGATCATGCAAATCCTGCAAAAAATGGTTGATAGGAAGAGAGCTGGTTTCAGGCCTTCATTTGATGTTTGGCTGCAAATAAGATGCTATAAAGTGAGAGTATAAAAATGGATAGAAACTGCTGTACTTAAACGTTGAAGGGGCCCTCCTCTGAGATGACAATACCTGCAGAGGCCCCAAGACCACTGAACTAAAAGAAATAAAGTCATTACAAGACATTACAAAATCAAGGTCAGTCCATCGCTGTATTGATTGAAAGGACAGGAACAACTAATGTGAATTAAGTGTAATACTTGAGTGAGTAATACTTTGACCTTATTAATAAAACTTCGTACAGGATTCACACACCAAACGCTCCTTCACTCAAAATAAAACTGCGTGAGGAAAATAAATTGCGATGATTATAACCTTTCACAAACTTACCTCCAAGCCATAAACGTGACATGCTGCTGCAACAGGCCTGCATCCTGCTGTAATTTATTATTACCGTTGCAACACAGTGAAAAGCATGTATCTCTGAATGCAAGGGCTTTTTCATAAGTTAACAAAAACAGGTCTGAGATCAAAGGTATGCTGTTGTACTTCGGTGACCCTGAGCTGCAGACTCATCGGTGGGGTGAGGGGGGGCAGCCAGGGGACACTGGAGACACCCCACCTTCCTCCTCCCCCACCTGCACTGGAGGCTGCAGTTGCCCCCCTGGGCCACAAATGTAGTAAAAGTTTGCCCAGGGGTGAACCTATTCTTGTGTGTAAGGAGCATCACAAATCACATCATCTTCCACTTATTCGTCTGCATGTTGTGGCTCGGCTCGTAATTAGTAGAAAGAGGAGTCATTTGAAATGGAGAGAGAAGTGAATGCTGCAGGTGCGTTACAATCTCTAGCTTTTATCCGTTGCGTATCACAAACAGCTTAGAGAATCCATGGTCCCGCTCTTTTTGTCTCCCCAAATGTTGCCAAACAAAGTGGCATCTTTAGTCCACCATCACTGATCTTGAGGGCCCAGATGCACCTGTTGAAGGTCTCATTGGTATAAAAACCTGATCCTTAACCCGAGCTGAAACTTAAACATTTCTGTTTAAACCTGACGAAGTGTAGATTTATGTGGTCTCATACCTAACTTAAAGCCTCATAAACTGCTAACAAAACAGCTGCTTTTAACATTACTTACCTACCCCAAGATTATTTACCCCCCTGAGCCTAACTAAAAGCTGAATGTCAAAGCTGAAATCCCCTGCGAGCCACGCACTAAGGGCCGCAGACAGAGACAAGGTTAGGGCTCTTGGGCATTTAAGTGAAAGGACTCTGGAATGTGGGACTGATCAGCAGTTTGAACAGATCAAGATGTGATCCACCCTAACCTGATCTGTCTGCTGCGCCTGACTCTGATCTCTACTGTAAACAAGCGTGCTTTCTGCTGAGACCCCCCCCCAATTTACCTCCAGGGACACAGCAGCTAACCTTGGTGGTTCAAACAAGACTGCATGAGAAGGGAGGGGTGTGTGTGTGTTTGGGGGGGGGGGTTGTGTTGACATGCTTCATTCCTTCAGGTGTCTGATAAGGCTCTAACGAACGGGACGCATCGCTGCCCTTTAACCTCGAACTTGTGCGTGATGGCTATCTAGCTGTCCACAGAGAATACAGGAAGTGTTGAGACATATGCAGATATAGACGAGAATGAGTGTGTCAGTTCACCCGTAGTGGGTCTGCACCGAAATGAAAAGCAACCGGTCCCACAATGCAGAAGCATTGCTCACACAGTCAGTGTGTCCCGGGCGTTAACAGCTTCTGATGAGAAAGCAGAGAATTAGTGGCTCACACGTCTAGCCTGAAATTGTAATCCGTTTATCACAACACTAAGGGGTCTACATCTCGGGGATCTCTCTGAGCTGGGGGCTACTACACAAAGGATTAGTAAATTAAACCAATCTGTTCAAACCAAATTCAGGGGAGCCTTGATTTTTTGGGGGGTTCCTGAAAACAGAGGTCTGTCCGTACCAGATTAGTGACCCTCGCTCATGTACTAATTATTTTGCTGAAATCCCACAATGCAATGTCTCACCTTTGTTATCAAAGTCAGAAATCCTAATTTACTGCTAGGGATGGGAATTGATCAGATTTCATTGATACCAACATTGATTTCTGATAAATATTCTGTGTGGAAAGAAGTAGGCCCACACAGGGTTTTAGTAACTGTTTTGTTATCTCCTGAACTTTAGTATTTTTACTTCCTTTGTGAAATGAAATGAAGCCACACTTTGGACTGTTTCTAACTAACTGACCTTGTTGCAAGTCAGCGTAGTAGCCGGAGTCTGACATCAACTGTCAGAAAAACATACTGTCATAGGTAAAACTAATTCTCCAGTCAGGTGCCAATCACTGCAGAGGCACAGCTCAAATAGAAATCCATGTGTAAATATGATATTAATGTTTATTTCATGTATGCATTAGAGGAAGGTTACAGTCTCCTCATCGCTCCACACTGATTTGATGTTCTCATCTCCTGCTGTTTGTGTCTTTAAGCTTCAGAGGATGTTTAATTGCAGTTTTCATTGCACTTTATTGCACTTTTTCTTTACTGATACACCAACGTTTCCACCTCAGTCAGGCATAAACACTTCCTTTTTGCAATATATAGCCATCATATTTAAAGTTCCTGTGTTTTCACTTACCATTTTTATGCACACATTTAAAATGTGCTTAAAAACCGGTGGATGGAAATGCACTCTAGACTTACATTCGTCATG